GGTATCCAGGGCGGGTAGGCATGAGCCCTTTTCATTTTGGAGTTCAACCCCAAACCATGCGTTTATCCATGAACATCCACTAATGCTTCATGCATGTTCGATATCATTTTCTTTTTCTTTTAAAAAAAATATATTTTATTGATTTTTTACAGAGAGGAAGAGAGAGGGATAGAGAGTTAGAAACATCAGTGAGAGAGAATCATCAATTAGCTACCTCTTGCACACCCCCTATTAGGGATGTGCCTGTAACCAAGGTACATGCTCTTGACCGGGAATCGAACCTGGGACCTTTCAGTCTGCAGCCGCCGATGCTCTATTCACTGAGCCAAACACCGTTTCGGCTTGGTTCAATATCATTTTTGAGAGAGAAGGAACGTGGTGTGGTGGCAAAGAGCAAAATTAAGTGGAAGAGCGCTGTGAGATGGAAGATGACGTCCGTAATGTCATAGTCTTCGTACTGTGTTTAAAGCAACAGCAACGATAGAACTGCTAACGACATCAGAGGGCAGGCGCATATCTCAGCTTCTTTCTTGAAGCGACGTGACCTCAGGCCAGAGGCTTAGGTTCCCTTATCTGTAAAATGAGGAAGATGCTATCTTCCTCCTCCATGATTATCTGCTTAGGGAACCCGACAGAAGCACGTGGTACGCCCTCACTCAACCCAGTAGTTCTAGACTCCTGATTCTGATTTACGCTGGCACTCGCTGCATTCCCTGAGCGGGTTGGGGGTGGTGTGCTGTGTTCTGCCCAGTGCTAGGCCGGGGAGGTGGTCCAGGGTTGCTCTCTTCCTGCCCCAGAGATGGACCGAGGCTCCTGGAGTGGCGGCTCTCGTGTGGGATTCTGCGCTTGGTTGGGTGATAATGACAGCTTTCTGTTGTATGAGTTGCCCTTGAAGACTGAACTCACGAAAGTGTCTGAGGAATGGTAATTAGAGAGCATGAAACCAGAGTTTTCTCACCGTGAATTTCCTGAGAACCACGCTGATGTTGTTATCTCCCGACTTGGGCTAGAGGAAGCAGGCCTGAGCCCTGTGCGTGATGAGAGGGTGTGGAGACCCACACGGCCTGTTATTTGCTCATTTGGGAAGAGACAAAAGTATTGTTTAAGCTGTGGAGGGGAAGAAAAAAAAATCACATAACATCCTTTAAGAAGGTTGAAGCATAATACCTACGGACAATGAACAATGTCTCTCTGTCGCAGTGATGGAATAAGAAATCATTTTTTAACTGCGAAGACTTGAGCTAGGCTTTACCAGAGGAAGTTGCTAAAGTTCATTGAGTTAGGAGGGACCTCCGACATTTCAGGTAGTTTTTTGTTTAAGTAGCATGAGCCACAGAAGCAGCACCGGTGATTTTGAATAGGTTGATAGGCCTGCCCAGAGGTAGAAGGCAATGTTGATAGTTTCATTTCATTTTTTAGGTCTGTCTTTCTTCCTCCCTCCCTTTCTTTCTTTCTTTCTTTCTTTCTTTCTTTCTTTCTTTCAGACAGGGTGAGGTCTCTGGCTTGTCATGCAGCCTTTGCTACATACTAGGTTTTGTACAAATAAGAAACCCAAAAGGTGTTTCTTACGTATACAGATAAGGGGATATATAGGATGGTTTTCATTGAAATAGCAATTTTAAATTTAATTATAATAATTTCTATAATAATCACTGAGACTTACCTTAGGAATGTAATGAGAAGTTCTTGTAAGCAGTTCCTGGGACTATAGACAATATGCCATGTATTTGGTCTTTCTGTCTATATGTCTGTCTGTCTTTCTTCTTGCCTTCCTTTCCCTCCCTCCCTCTCTCCCTTCCTCTCTCTCTCCCTCCCTCCCTCCTTCCCTTCCTCTCTCTCTTCTTCCTTCCCTCTCTCCCTCCCTAAAAACAAACTAACAAAAGAAATTCCTTGAGAGTCCTGAGCCAGGTGCTCAGCATGGAGACATGGCCTCAGTCGGTGATAAGACTTCCCAGGGGTAGAGCTCACTTGGACCTGTGCCCTGTGCCCTGTGCCGCTGGCCATTTCCAGCAGCAAGAAGTGAGGCCTCAGGAAGCAACCTGTGGGGGAGACGCTCTCGCTCCGTCGTGGCTTGTGGCCACCACAACAAGTCTCCGCATTCCTGGAAGTGGCTGTGATGGGCTGCGACAATATTCTTTCTTAAAGGGTATTATTAAGTGGCTGCAAGATCCCTTCCTGCCTTGGAGCCACGTGGCTAGGCGATGAGAAACTTTGATCTGGGAGTTTTCCTTTTATGACGTAGGAACGATCCTTAGGCGATTTCAGCATCCCAGCTGCACTTTTGTCTTCAGTCAGCTCTTGACTTGTATAGGAAGCAGCTTTTGCAACACAAGTTTCTGTCTAGTGTTTACTTGGGTGGCCATGCTTGACTTTGAATATATTTGTTAGGTTTTGGATTCTTTAACCTTTCCTTACTAGGAGGCAAAAAAGCAAGCAAACAAACAAAGAAGCAAACAAAGAAAAAAAAAGAAAAAAGAAAAAAAAGGCAATACTTTATTATTATTATTTTTTTAAAAGAAGTGGCTTCCTTTTATTAAGAAGATTACATGAGTCATGCCAAAGGACACTGGAAGTAGTTTGAAGGCATCCCCGGTGGTCAAATTTGGGACAGTCTGAACATGGAAAAGAAGGATGGCAATTGGTTATTACACAAGGAAAAAAAAAGTGTATGGAGGAGTAGAGAGGGCGGAGAAGGAATGATAGAATTAGAAAAAGTGCTGTTTTGCAGTCCCAAATGGAATAATGGAGGCAAGAATCAACGAGTGCTATAAATCCACATGAAAAATAATTAGGAAATAGGACAGCCACCTGGTTCCAAATCCTCACCCCACGTGCTTTTGTTTGTTTTTTTTTACTGATATAAAGGGGGGCATGTCCCTTTACCACAGAGATGTGGCCGTTTCCATCTAAACCAAGTGATCCAGCGTGGCATCAGTCATAACGGGATAGCACAGCATTCCCTGTGCCCTGACGAGAGGGAAGAGGAAGTTCACAGTATGAGAGTATTTCTGCCAAAAAGTGTTCAACGTGTGTCTAGACTTAGCTTTTGGCCCACAGGAAATACAGGGATGGACGAACAGATTTTCATAATAAGACTGAAGAAGGATGTCGTCGATTCAGGGTGATCAAATTTGAGGAATGCCTCGAAAAGCGAGAGAGTACCAGTGACCTCTTCCAGACCCAGCACATGTTTGTGGGATGCAATAGCATCGAACTAGCTACGGGGCGAGTCAGGGGAAGGCTGCTTCTGGACAGAGGGGAAGGCCCGTTGTAAAGTCCTCGCTCGTGTATGCCTGCCGCAGTGGCTGCATTTCACATACACTGCATATAGTTTGCTTTCAGCGCTATGACTTGCTGAACGAAGGGCCAGAGCGCTGGGTGGCAGTCACGGTGGTCTTTCCCACTCGGGGGACGGCTGACTTGGGCGGGGACTCTTCGGGAGGGGCAGGGGCCATTACATTTGCTCCTGGGTGAGCGCTGAGTCGGCCACTTAATTATGTCAACAGAGCAATTGCAGAGGCCGCCAGAGAGTCATTATTGTCCGTCTTGGCGGAATGCACGGCTTTTAATCTGTGAGAAGCGCTTCTGTGCGGGACGGCTCCTTGCAGAACCACGCCGGGTCCTGCAGGTCCCCCCTGCATGTTTCAGAGAGAGCAGCTCCATTGTTTTTAAAAAGTCTTTCTCATTCTCCCTTTCCCTCTCCCTCTCCCTCTCCCTCTCCCTCTCCCTCTCCCTCTCCCTCTCCCTCTCTCTCAAGTCACATGTCCTATTGATCAAATACTTGTTTCTTGTTGAAATAGGACATGTGACTTAAGTAGCCTACATATCTCAATTATTTAGTTGAATTTCACATTGGTGGCTGAACCAATATCTATTATCTATAATCTATCTCAGTAGCATTGGTCTCAGTGACATCCCTCTCCCTCTCCCTCTCCCTCTCCCTCTCCCTCTCCCTCTCCCTCTCCCTCTCCCTCTCCCTCTCCCTCTCCCTCTTTCTCTGATTACCTCTTCAATCCTTTATTTCCTTTTGCAGCAAAATTTGAGAGTCTGTATTTCCACTTTTTCTCTTCCCATTGTCTCCTGGACCTGCTGCCATCCACCGCTCCTCCCTACCCCCATGTGGCACCTGCTTTTGTCTCGGGAGGCCGGGGCCTTCACACTGCCCAGCTTCGAATCCAGCGCGGGGCCGAAATCTTATCTGACCGTCAGCGGCTGCCGGCCCAGTCCATCACCTCTTCCTAGAAACACGCTCTTTCCTTGGCTTCAAGGTGGACTGGTCCCCAGGCTGGTCCCCTTTCTCCCTGGTCGCTCAGCTCACCTTCCTCCTCATCTCCTGGCCTCCTAGGCTTACCCGGCCCCAGGCCCTCTCCTCTCTGCCTTCTCCCAGGCTGTCAGACAACATCATGGTGAAAACCACGGTTGTGTACACACTGTGTACACATACCCCAAAATCCTAGCTTTATTTCTATTTTTAAAAAAATACGTTTTCATTGATTTTAGAGAGAAAGGGAGAGGGAGAAAGAGACATCAGTGCTGAGAGAGAATCATCAATCGTTTGCCTCCTGCACGCCCCCTCCTGGGGATCAAGCCACAATCCGGGCATGTGCCCTTGACCAAGTATTGAAACTAGACCTCCTGGTTCATAGGTTGACACTCAACCACTGAGCCACTCGGGGTGGGCCTGGCTTTATTTTTTCTATCCCACTTATCACCACATGAAAAGAAAAACTAACTTTTTTTGTTGCCGAGTTTGTCTGGTCTGTCTGCATAGAACGTGGGTTTCACCAGGACAGACGTCTCGTCTTCCTTGGTCCCAGCACATCCCCTGTGCCCAGGAGGGGGGGTGGGCTGCTTGGTCAGTCCTGCTGCAGGGGCCACTGAGCAGCAGCCTCAGGGACGGAGGGCTTCCCCTCCTGGTCGCTTTTTACGGCATCCGGGTGTGACCGAGGGCAGGCAGTGTGTGCATTCACGGCATACTAATCGCCGTTTCTGTCCCTCAGTTTCTCTGTTTGAAGAACATACGGACCTTCCTCTCGGCCTGCTGCGAGACATTTGGGATGAGGAAGAGCGAGCTCTTCGAGGCTTTTGACCTGTTCGATGTCCGGGACTTTGGAAAGGTAATGCTGCATTTTATATTCTCATGTATTCTTTTTTTTTTTTTTTTAATTGGAGAACCTTTGATCAATTACTTGTTTCTTGTTGAAATAGGACATGTGAATTTCACATTGGTGACTGAACCAATATCTATTATCTATCTATCGATATCTATCCATCTAATCTATCTCAGTAGCACTGGTCTCAGTGACATTAGAATTGTTGCCTATTTCAAGCAGTGTCAGAGGAACCTTTGGTGCAGAGGTCAATAACCATTCTCCATCCTTTAGAGCTGTGGGGCCCTCATGTCTGGGGGCCAGCATTGTTTCCCTCCAGTCCTCGATATGCCCCAAAGACTCCCCATTTTTGAAAGCTGGGAATGTTCTGTCGCCCCTCTCTATTTGACCTGGGTGGGGGACTTGGGGAGAGGAGGACACGGATCACTGAAACGTTTGAGGTTGTGAAATAACTCCCTTACTAACAGCTATTTCCAAGGACATTTGTCACGTGGGAATATGTTAACGTTATAGTTCTCGTGTGTGCCCCAAACACGTGTGTGTGCTCGGTGACTGGAATCGCCCTTTCAAAAGGGATGGTCACTTATTTTGTAGTCTTTGGGCATAAGGTTACACTTCTTACGTGTAAGAAGCCGTAAAAGAGGTAATGACGTGAGTCTCCATGTCCCCATCCCCCGATTCCAGTCCTCCTGTGAGCTCTGACCCCCCCCAGCCCCCCTTCCCCCAAAGCCCCACATGAGTCCCAGCAGGACATGGGGCAACCTGTGCTGGTGTCCCACTACCTGCGTGTCTCCCGGGGACCCCGCCTGGCCTCCGGTCACAGGAAAACGCCCCCAGCCCAGGGCTCCTCGGCGGCGCTCGTGGCGGGTGCAGGTGCCTCGGGGACCGCCCTGGGCCTGGCTGGGACGATCCTCGTTGGCTAGTGCCCACGGATCAGCCACGAAGACAGTTCCTGTCTGTTTTCACAACCCAGGATGAAGCGTTTGACATGTAAATCTCTCTTCTTTCAATTATCTGTTTGAACTCCCACTCTTGTTAGAAGTTTGATGTTTCTCCCTCGGAGTATTTTCCATCCTGAATTACTCAAGAGTCCCCGGGGTGTCTGTGGTCCACGGGCCCTAATCAGCCTCACTGCCAAGCACCACGCAGCACTTCGTCTTCAGCCGTGGCCTGTCATTCGGGGTCCTGCGTGGTTCCGTGGATGGCTCTGACACCCCCAGCCTTCTGCTCCCCCCCCCCCCAGCCCCCGGCACTTCAGTTAGCCCCCATGGTGACCCCCAGCTCTGTGGCGAGTTCTCTTCAGGGGCCCCCGGGTTGCTTTCCTGCCAGCACACTTGGGTCAGGGCCTCCTTATTATTAACCGGCTGCCTCCTGCACACCCCCTGCTGGGGATCCAGCCTGCAACCCAGACATGTGCCCTTGACCAGAATTGAACCCAGGTCCCTTCTGTCCACAGGCTGATGCTCTATCCACTGAGCCAAACCAGCCAGGGCGAAGGGGTGGGGGGTCTCCTCGTCCAACCTCTATGGAGGTACCGACTCCCGCTCTCCGAGCAGCACTGGGGACCTCTGGTCTCCTTCCTTCCAGAAGGCCTGGACTTCCCTGCTCCTCAGCCAACTGCCAGCCTGCAGCAGCCCAGCCCTCAGGGTCCCGGGAGGCCACCTCTGTCCGCCCACAAAGGCCTCCTTCACGCGCTCCCCCTCAGCGGGAGGGGGCCTGTCTGTATTTACATAACTGAGAGCTCTCCAGTGATTCCTTCCGGACAAAGAGAGCTTGGTCCAAGGCCTCCTTTGTGTCTGTTTAGACGAGAAAGGGCAACGGCCTCTGGCCTCTGGAGCACTGTCTGGTTGGCTGACACCATGGCGGCATCCTTAGCAGATCCTCCTTTGTGTTTGCACAGAGCGGCCTTCTGAGGAACCTCTCCCTCTCTTTCTGTCACTGTCTTTGCTGCTATATTTCACCCGGGGAGTCAATGCCAGGCCGCTTTTCCCATTCGCACCGCGTCTCACAGAACCCTCGTGCCCGAGCCTCGCACGGGTCATTCTTCACACGCTGGTGATGACTCAAGTTCACGTTGGGTCTGCTCTCTAGCAGTTTTTGAGCCAGTTTACAAAACCCTTCACTGTTTTCGAGCCTTAATACAGTTGAAAACCTCTAGAAGGGCGTTGCCCAAGGAACCCCCTTGTCTTGAGAAATATGAATAGGACGCCTGGGAAAAAGCATCCTTGTTCACACAAGTTGGGTAAACGTGCAGGCGGGGTCCTCCCGCTGTGGGAGGGGCATGGCACGCTAAAGGCACTGACAAGTCCTGCTTCTGAGACGGAAGCAACGTGGTTGCAAACTGTGCAGCCCATTGCCAGAGCAGTGGCAAGAGGGGCCCAGAGTGAGCTCTCGTTAGGGTTGGATGTGACCTGTGAAAGGGGAGGAGAGAAAACAAGAGGAAGGAATGGAGCAGGGGCAACTTAGCGCACTTCTCCCCCCTTTTCAATGAATATAAGAAAAACCCAATGACTTTTACACTCACTTCCTGTAGATATATTTTGCATCCCAGTCAGTATTTTATGTCTCATTTTTTCCCAAAGGTTTTTACTATATTTGTCCATTCTTAATTTTCCCTGTATTTCATTTTTGGTGTTTTTGGCACTTGCTGGTTATCAGGTGGAGACTTGGTCTCTCTGGAACACTTAAAAGCTTTTCTGGGGTGTGTGTGTATGTGTGTGTGTATGTGTGAGTATGTGTGTGTGTGAGTGTGTGTATGTGTGTGTATGTGTGTGTGTGTGTGTGTGTGTGTGTGTGTGTGTGATTATTTCTTTTAAAAATGGAAATATTGATTGTTTTGTGCTAGGAAACTTTCTAGGAACAGGTTTCTGTGTTTTTGAGGTTACGCCAAACACATGCTGCTTAGCACACCTGTTCTTCTTCCCTCTCCGCTGTGTTCAGAGGCCCTCAGCCCTGTCCAGCCCTTGTAGTGTAGCTCACCCAGGGCACATGCATACGGGGTCACGGAGTCTCAGCTGCTGTCCCTTGGGGGTGAATGTGATGGCTGGGAAGTCTCCAGGCGACTGGGTTGACTCCATTAGGTGGCAGCACAGTGGCCCATGACTTGTCCGTCCAACAGCGGTGATGCGAACCCTCGGCCGTCAGGCCTTCAGCTGCTGTGCGTGCGTTATTTCCTATCCACGGGCTCCTGTGGAAAAGGAGGGCGGTGTTTTCCGTGTTTACTCGCCCTGTTATCTTTTGAATGGCTTATGCACATCTGTAGGGGCCCGGGAGCCCTGGCGCTTGCCCAGTGGGCAGAATGGAGGGGGGAGGGGCAGGGCTGGATGGAGCAGCAGGAAGCCAGCCTCAGGAGCACTCTGAGCACCAGGCAGCTGCAGGAAACAGTGTTGGCAGCGGTGCAGTGGTGGGTCAGCCATGCACGCTTCCTCCGGAGAGACGCCGGCTTCTGAGTCACTTGTTTTCTGCCTGCAGCCCCCGTGTCTTTGGAGGACTGCAGTGGAGACCCTGGGTTGGTTCTGGATCTTCCTCTGCTTAGACGGCCTCTGGGGCGTGAAAGGTCTCGCTGAGTCAGTGTGTTTTAGGACTAATGGTGTCAGGACCAGCTGGTGGATAGGGCCGTCAAAGTCATTAGGTTAGAACCATGGTCTGCAAATCGCCGCTCTTGAGCCACATGCGGCTCTTTGGCCCTGTGAGTGTGGCTCTTCCACAAAACACGATGGACTGGGAGAGTCTATGTTGAAGAAGTGGCGTTAGAAGAAGTTTAAGTTTAAAAAATGTGGCTCTCCAAAGAAATTTCAGTCGTTGTACTGTTGGTATTTGGCTCTGAGGACTAATGAGTTTGCCGACCACTGGGTTAGCAGGTGTTCTCCTGGGAACTGTGTGCACCCAGCTTCACACGGAATGTGCTGGGTGACCCCAGGCCTCTGCGTTCCCTCGCTGGTCTTCTTCTGTGTGTCTGTGCAAAGGAGCTGAGGGGGGATACTTGCTGCTTCTGAGTGGGCAGATGCCTTACAGATCGTTTCTGCTCTGTAGCTGCCTCTCAGAATGATCACCCTGGAGTGGTTGTGTGAGGGTAGAGTCTACCACTGTTACCGGTCAAGTCTAGGTTAGGTTTTTTTTGTGTGTGTTAATCCTCACCAGAGGATATTTTTCCATTAATTTTTTAAAGGGAGAGTGGAAGGGAGGGGGAGAGACAGAGAGAAACATCGATGTGAGGAGACGCATCTATTGGTTGCCTCCCACATGTGCCCTGATCAGGCCTGGGGATTGAGCCTGCAACCGAGGTACTGGATTCCTTGACTAGAATCGAACCCGAGACACTTCAGTCCACAGGCCAAAACTTCATCCACTGAGCAACCGGGCAGGTCAAGTTTTGAAGACGATTGATAGCACTGGGTATGAGTTGGGTAAAGTCACAAAAATGCCCTGAAGGCCAGATCCAGATGGGAACGAACTCTGCGTCTGCCCCTGATGTCTGTGAAGCCCAACGTCGCTTTAGCGAAACCACTGCTGACGGTTTTCTAGTGGCCTTTAGGTTTTCAGGAGGAAGCAGCAGAAAAACATGAATTTACTGACTGTCAGATGATAAAGTACAATTTCTCAGAGAGCTAGTCAAGTACACTTTCATGGCATTGTAGACAGTGAAACTGCTCTAGAAGGGGGATGGTATTAACGAGCATTGCTTTTCCAAAAATGTTGTTTTCACTTGGAATTTTCATAAGTAAGTAGATGTTTAGGTAGATAAGTAAAGCAATCCAGCACACACACCGTCCTTTCTACACTGTTCTGGGCTCCCAGTTGGACTCCCTTCTATAGTACTTGAAAGATTCTGAGTGATGGCACAGGATTTTCCTCTGCAGCAACAGTTCCAATTAGTGGATGGTGAATTATTTAGAAAATCATCACTAATCTAGTTTTCTACCCATTGACCCTGGTACAGCATAGAATTAATTCATAACTCTCCTCTGGGACAATCCCTCAAACACATGAAGATCGTTACCATGCTC